TTTTTTGATGGAGTCTTGCTCTGTCACCCAGGCTGGAGTGCAATGGCACAGTCTTGGCTCACTGCAACCCCCGCCTCCTGGGTTCAAGCGATTCTCCTGGCTCAGTCTCCCAAGTGTGGGATTACAGGTTCCCACCACCATGCCCAGTTAATTTTTTGTATTTTTAGTAGAGACGGGGTTTCGCCTTGTTGGCCAAGTTGGTCTCGAACTCTGGACCTCAGGTGGTCCACCCGCCTCAGCCTCCCAAAGTACTAGGATTACAGGCATGAGCCACCACGCCCGGCCTATATGTTTTATTTTTAAAATCAGTGATAGATAAATGGAAAAAGAAATAGAAAGAGTATGCCCTGTATTCACATCCTGGCAATTATGAGACACTTTGCATCTACCTCCCAGGGTTTTATGAAGATTAACTCACATAATGTGAAGTTCCCCACATAGTGTTTTGTAATGTACTTCCCAGCACATAGTACGTGCTCCATAAACATTGCATTAATGTATATGCACAAGTTGTTTCCCAAATGGAGATTTGCTCAGACATTGTGGTCCTCTTTAAACTTTAAAGGGCTAGCAGATAATGCCATGTTTCAGAATTGTGACTGGTGGTCTTCACTTTGGACCAAAAATATTTGTACTGGACTAAGAGTATTGTGTAAAGGGACTCTGTTTGTTGTGCCTGTAGTTTTCTACCTAAGTGCTACTCGTGATGGACCTAGGAGGAGCAACATTAACATGAACAGGGACTTCTTACAGGAGCCAGTTAATAGACCTCTTCCAAACCTACAGAATCACATTACTTAAAGTGGGGCTCAGAATAGCAAATGATATATGCGCATTGAAGTTTCAGAAGCAATGCTTAGCTAAGTGGCTCTCAGCCCAAGCCTCCAATTAGGATCACATGTCCAGTTTAAAGAAATACTCTTACTTGTACCCTCCCCACAGGTTCTGTCTATTGGTCTGGGTAAGAACATTGTTGTTTTAGTTTCGTACCCCATGTGATCCTAAGGTAAGGCCAGGGTCAAGCATGAGGGCCCTTAGATACATTTGAGAGAGTTGAGTTCAGCCTTTGTTCCAGAGGAAGGTCACAGGGCCTGCTCTCCTTTGGTTTGGTGTGTTCAAGTCAGTGCAGCCAATATTTTTATTATTGTAGCCAAAATTGCTGGCTTCCATGGGACAGAAGGGCACTTGATGGCAGGAAAATGAAAACTCACATTTTGACCTTTATGTAGGAGCTCATTGTTCCTGTCTTGTATGATGAAGAAACAGGAAAGTAGCTTTTTCTGCATTTCAAGGTCCTTCTGCCTGTGTGTGTGGTCATAGCAGGTGAAGGAGTTGTGCTGACATCTCTAAAGGCATATTCTCAAGATGTGTGATTTGTCCAGATAATCTCATCTGAACAGAAATCAGAAAAAGAGGAAGAAATGGCTGGTTCTCGGGTAAATGAGTACTAGGTCAGGGGCTGGGTCAGCTGTTTCTCCAGAAATGTCATGTGTTTAAAACTTGCAGACTTTTATTTATATATTTGTAATGTTTCTGCCTAATAAATTTATTTCAAGTACTTTTTAAATTTTTCTTCTTATGATAGTCAAGGGGCTCTGAAAAATATTTCTTTCCTATATATCAATGTTTTATATCCATTCAGGCTTTTTAAGTGCCATAAGCAATCTTTACTATAAATTTTTGACCTGCAAAATGAATGTTTCTTTTGTATCTGTTGAACATGGGAAGGTGTGGATGCCCAAGATTCCCACTGGAGATGGATTCGGGTCCTTGGATTAGTTAAAAGAAAGTTGATGGAATTTTGCATGAAACTGATGTTTCTTTATGATTAGATTCAGATTTTGCCTTCTTGACCTATGCTGTTATAGCAATAATGTTGTAACCTCCTCCTCTGCATTTTTACATGTGATACCAGTTTTTTCTGTTACAGTTGGTGTTAATTTTATTCACTAGGTTAAGATGCTTTCTGACAGATTTCTTCACTATAAAGCAAATTAGTTTTCTCTGTATTATTAAGTACATTGGGGAGATTTAATAACTGATGGGCATGAACCATCACATTTAATTTGGAAGTTCTCCTTCTTAGATTATTTGACCTTGGAAAATGAAGGCTCTTATTTAATGGTCAAATGAACTGAGATAAATGCAGGCTCTGCCACTTAATGTTTGGCAGAATATTCTCCTTGGTTCAGAAGCATTGGCATCACAGGTGAACTTGTTCAAAATTCAGAAAGTCAGGTTTCAGCCCAGACCTTCTGAATCAAAATCTACATTTTAAACAGATTTCCAATTTCTTGTCATATGCATTAAAATCTGAGAGGCACTTCAGATGATTTTTCCTTCTGAGAAATTTATCCAACTTATCTTGTGTAATGTAAATATAGCTGTCCAATATGTAATGCCTGTATTGGCACCCTTATTTTTATACTATAACGCTTAACAAAAGTATAGCATCTACACTGGTTTTGTAAATCTTATGCCATCCTCTTTCCTTAGAGTTACAGAATGCATTTGAGAATCTTTGTGTTTTAAACAGTATCTTACTGGACAATTTATGCCAGAAAAAGTTCACTTTACTCTCTTCAATTCAGTTGGAGTCAAATTAAGAACTCTGCCCATGGCACATTTTGTAAATGTGTGTGTATTTTTTCCCCCCAGGGACTATTGGCATTCAGTGATGTGGTCATAGAATTCTCTCCAGAGGAGTGGGCATGTCTGGACCCTGCCCAGCGAAATTTGTATAGGGATGTGATGTTCGAGAACTACAGAAACCTGGTCTCCCTGGGTGAGGATAACTTCAATACACAATTTATATTTCATACTATGAATTTCATATTTTTCACTCCTGAAATGTTACCTGAGAGTTTGTCATTTGCATGAATGAGTTTTTGATCTCTGCTTCTAAGGAAAACTTGGGAATTTGTTGGTGTAGAAAATAAAATCTTCAAAATGTTTCATCTTGACATAAATTTTAAGGTCTAAATTCTTCAGTCTAGATGACTGGTAATTCCAGAACTTCAGTGGCATAAGATACTGTTGCCCACACCTCAAAATCTAATTACACTACCAAGTTTTGATTCAGTAGTATTGGGTAGTGGAGCTAAGAACCTATACGTTTTTGGGAGACCGAGGTGGGCAGATCACCTGAGGTCAGGAGTTCAAGACCAGCCTGGCTAACATGGTGAAACCCCATTTCTACTAAAAATACAAAAAATTAGATGGGCATGGTGGCATGTGCCTGTAATCCCAGCTACTCAGGAGATTGAAGCAGGAAAATCACTTGAACCTGAGAGGCAGAGGTTGCAGTGAACTGAGATCACGCTATTGCACTCCAGCTTGGGCAACAAAAGCTAAACTCCATCTCAACAAACAAACAAACAAACAAAAAGAACCTATACATTTAAAGTCCTTTCTAAATATTGTATAGTTAATGTCAGAAAATAGTATTTTGGGAGTAATTTTCTAGAACCTTCTAAAAAATTGTTTTCCTACCAAGCACCGTACTAGGTTGGTAATTGGAGCGTGCCAGCAAGAGTCATGTTATTTTTTCTAATGAAACAGGTCTTGCTATGTCTAATCCAGACCTGGTCACCTGTCTAGAACAAAGAAAACAGCCTGGGAGTTTAAAGAGACAGGTGATAGTAGCCAAATTTCAAGGCAGATAGGAGTAAATAAAGTAGATGACACAGGTTAGAGGCCCAAATGTCAAGGAGAAAGCCAGAAATGAAAATGTGGTTTGGGCAGCTCTGCTTCAGAAAAGCCTGAGTTTCTTTGTCTTCCTCTCACAGGAGCATCTTCTGCCCCATGCTCTTAAGTTCTCTAAGGATTCCACTACCATGAAGTGATTTTCCTTTGAGGTTACAGAGTGAAGCAAAGTCCTCTTTGTGGTTTATAAGGCACTATATAATCTGACTGCTTTTCCATTGCTTTGTGGAACATAGGCATATCTACATATTTTTGAGGAACTCTATTTTATACCATTTAATTCTGTTTTTGCATCTTGTCTGAAATTTGTGAGAGTAGTGGTATATTGGCATTTGGTTCAGAAATCCCAGGAACACCACAAACATATGTTGTGTTTTCAGCTTTATGATTTTCTATCCTATGGAGGTTTCAAATGTGATTTTACAGAAGTTCATACTCAGTGATTTTATCAGAACACTAAATATAAGAAAATCTAAACTTATTTTACTTCAAAATTTTATTTTCTAAGTAAAAACTGAGATTGGTAATTTAAACTCTATGCCCACTTTGTTACAGTATCAACAGTAATATAATTTAATATATCTACTCCCTACATTTAAAAACAATACTGTTTTATTAAGGAGCTTGGAAGATTGCTGAGCATATATTAAACTCCCACCTTTTACCTTATTTTTAAATAACTATATTTTAAATTTGTTTTTATTTACTATAAAGCTTACTGGGGTATACATACATATACATGCATGTATATATATTTATTTGTGTGTGTAACAACTCTTTTACAAATAAAAATTATGAATGTCCAACATAAAAATTTGATGTGTACACATTGTACTATAATTAACACACTCAAATTGATTTGGAGTGAGAATTCCTAATGTCTACTACCTTAGCAAATTTTAAGCCTACATGACATTATTAACTGTATTCATGAAATTACACATTCAATCTTTTAAATTTGTTCATCTTAAAACCAAACAACAATTCTAGCACTTTGGGAGGCCAAGGTGGGCGGATCACTTGAGGTCAGGAGTTTGAGACCAGCCTGGCCAACATAATGAAACCCCATCTCTACTTAAAAAAACTAAAATTAGCTGGGCATGGTGGCGGGTGCCTGTAATCCCAGCTACTCGGGAAGCAGAGGCAGGAGAATTTGCTTGAATCTGGGAAGTGGAGGCTGCAGCGAGCAGCCACTGCACTCCAGATCCTGCCATTGCACTCCAGCCTGGGCGACAGAGCAAGACTCCGTCTCAAAAAAACAAAAACTGAAAAACACCTTCCCAATTTCTTCACTTCTAGGCCCTGCCAACTCCCTCTGTACTCTCTGCTTCTGTGAGTTTCACCGTTTTGGATTCTCTATACAAGTGAGATCATACAGTATTTGCCTTTTGGTGTCTGGCTTATTTTACTTAGCATAATGTCTTTCCAGTCCATCCGTGTTGTTTAAATGGCAGAATTAAATTATTTTCATGACCAAATAATACTTTATTGTGTATGTAAACCATATTTATCCATCTAGTGTCTAAAAACATTTAGGTTATTGTCATATCTTGGCAATTGTGAATGATACCGTAATAAATATGAGGATGCAGATATTTCTTTGAGATACTGATTTCATTTCCTTTGGTTATATACACAGAACTGGGATTGTTGAATTTTATACTTGTATCTTTTTCTAAGAGCCTTCATACCAATTTTTATAATGACTTCACCAATTTACAACTTTTAAAGTATACAGTACAGGATTTCTGTTTCTTCACATTGTGTGTTTTGTTTTGTTTTGTTTTGTTTGGGATGGAGTTTTGCTCTTGTTGCCCAGGCTGGAGTGCAATAGCACGATCTCAGCTCACTATGACCTCCACCTCCCGGGTTCAAGCAATTCTCCTGCCTCAGCCTCCCAGGTAGCCAAGATTACAGGCATGTGCCACCATACCCAGCTAATTTTGTATTTTTAGAAGAGACGGGGTTTCACCATGTTGGCCAGGCTGGTCTCAAACTCCTGATCTCAGGTGATCTGCCCACCTTAGCCTCCTAAAGTGCTGGGATTATAGACATGAGCCACTGCTCTTAGCCCCTTTCTTCACATTATTATCAAACCGTTATCTCACTTTTTAATATATATGTATTAGTCATCTTAAGTGTGAAGTGATATTTCATCATGGTTTTGATTTGTGATTGCCTGATGATTGGTGATAGCCCTCTGATATATCTGTTGGCATTTGTATGTCTTCATTGGAACAATATCTATTGGGTCTTTTGCCTGTTTTTCAATTTTATTATTAATATTATCATTATTATTGTGTTCCTTTCGATTTCTATGAGTTCCTCATATATTGTTGATATCTACCTTTTATTTGATTTATGGATTGCAAATATTTTCTCCCATCCTGCAGATTTTCTTATTTTATTGTTTTTCTTGCTGTACAGATGCTTTTTAGTTTCATGCAGTCCAACTTGTTAATACTTGCTTTTGTTGCCTGTACTTTTGATGTCATATCCAAAAAATCATTACCATAACCAATATCAAGTAGTTTTTAAAATATATTTTCTTTTAAGATTTTTAAGGATTTCTGTCTGGCATTTAAGTCTTTATTTTGAGTTAATTTCTTGGTATCGTGTAAGAAAAAAATGGTCTAATTTCACTTGCATGTAGATATTCTTTTTGCCCAGCATCAATTATTGAAGAGACTATCTTTTGTACACTGTGTATTCTTGACGCCCTTGTTAAAGATTCATTGACCTTATATGCCTGGGTTTATATCTGAGCTCTCTATTTTGTTCCATTTTTGTATCAGTTTTCGTGTTTATGCCATCCTACTCTTATTACCATAGTTTTCAAATAGAGCTTTAAATCAGAAAGTATGATGCCCCCGGCTTTGTTATTATTTCTCAAGATTGCTTTCACAATTCAGTGTCTTGTAATGCTATATAAATTTTAAAATTTTATTCTATTATTTTTTAAAATGCCATTGTAATTTTGATAGGAAGTTTATTGAATCTCTTCATTGCTTTGGATAATATGGCACTTTACAATAATTAGTCTTCCAATTCATAAACATTGGGTATCTTTACATTTATTTGTTTTTTCTTGTTTCTTTTATCAATATTTTCTTTCCCAATGTAAAGATTTTTCATGTTGCTTAAATTTTTTTGCTAAGAAATTTAGATGTTACTGTAAATGAGATTTTTTATTAAATGGTTTGTAGTTAGTGTACTAGAACAAAACTGATATTTGTATAACCTTTTATATTCTGCTAATTTACTCAGATTTTTGGTTTATTTCTTAGGCTTTCTACATATAAGATGATGTCATCAACAAACAGCAATAATTTTACTTATTTCTTTTCAGTTCTTATGGCTTTTACAAAATTTTCTTGCCTAATTGTTCTGTCTAGGACTTCCAGGACTATGTTAAAATAGAAGCATTGATAATGGGCACAATATCACTTTGCATTGGTGTCTGTGCATTTGAAGGAGCAAACACCTCTACCAGTTTTTATAAACTGGTTTATACAGGTAAAGATTTTATCCTATTGGGTCCCCAGCTGATGAGATCTTTTCTGGGTTCACAGTAGAGAGATGATATACCTGAGTCCTAAGGTTGTTGCAGAGTCCACAATGGGGTCTATCTTTAGTGGGCTTATTACCAGGGGCTTGTGTGCTTATGAAGTCTGTCTTATTACTTTGCCAACTGAGTTGCCTTCAGCACTTTGATCTGTAGGGCAGACACTTGGCCTAATACCAAGTGTTTGTATGTGTGTCGCTCCCACCCAGTACTTGCAAGGTTTTTACCAGGTCACAGGTCTCCAGGTTGGCAGGACTGGCCATGGAATGTAGCTTAAAGGTCTAGAACTGAGTTATTCACCTGCTTCAGAGACCACAGTAAATGTCAAGGTCTGCAGTTCTGCATCTATGGCCATGAATGAGCATCTGACCCTAGCTCTCTGAATGGGCAGTACCTCTTCTTGACTATGGCTGGAAGGAGTTAATGACAGTTACAGTGTTACTTCAGAATTCTAAGTGGAATCATGTTAAATGGGCCATTTCTTCATCTGTAGCCAAGACCAGCAGTCCTCAAGTTTGCCATCTGAAGGTAAACTTACTTTCTGAAAAAGGCTTTCCTTGGTCTTGTGCTTTTGGCAGAGTATTGCAACTCCTTCCCTGAATCACAAAGCAATCATAAATGTACTTTTTGTGTGACAGGGTCTTGCTCTATTAGCCAGGCTGGTCTCAAACACCTGGCCTGAAGTAATCCTTCTGCCTCACCCTCTCAAATAGCTGGAATTACAAATATGAGCCATGGTGCCCGGCTCTCTCACAAAGGCACTTATGTCCATAGATGGTTGATAAGTTTTTGTTGCTTTGGGAGATATACAAGAAGAGGACCTCCTGTTCCAACAACTTGCTGATTTTATTCTTCCTATATAGTTGCACTTCCATTTAGTTTTCTCTTTGCATTTCAAATTTGTGTGGGATTTTTAAATAAACATATATATTTGGGAAACCTAATGGGGAACCTATGTTCTCAGTAAATCTTATGTGTATTCATGCATGCTTATAAATTATATGTTTCCAATAAATGAACACTTTTATTATTACTTGATGTTCATATTTTCTCTTGTGACAAGTTTGGCTTAAAGTATACTTTGTGAAATATAACAGTTGTTGACATATAATGTACTTTTCCCAATATAATTTTTACCTTTCCAACTGTCATTTGGTTACCATTTGCATGGAATCTTTTTTCTTCCTCCCACTTTTAGTCTATTATGCCAGTCGTCTAAAGTTAGTCTCTTGGAGACAAGACATAGTTTGTGGTTTTTAAAATTTTTTCTAAATCTCTTTATTCAGTCTTCTGATTGGGATGTTTTGTTGATGAATATTTAAATAGCTGTCTAAAACATAATTACTTACTATTGTCATTTATTGTTTTATCGGATTCTTGTAGCCATTTTTTCCTCTTTTTCTCTCTGTCTTCCAGTATGTTTTCTGAGCTTAGTAACATGCTTCTACTCTCTTCTTCTGTGTGTGTTTATTTGTATCTCTATAGGTATTTTCTTTGTGGTTGCCATGAGAATTATAAAACCCCCAAAGTTACAACAACATATAATAAACTGGTAATAGCTTAATTTCAGTTGCATACAGAAATTTTTTTGTTATATTTACCTTAAACTTCATATTATTGATGTCACTAATTATATATTTCATATTATATAGACATCAACAGATGTTTATTATTGTTCTCATGCATTTTTCAAATTGTAGAGCGTAAGTAAAAGTGTTTTCAGCACCATCATTATAAAACTACAGAATTTTATTTTTGTGTATGTATACATCTTTCCCAGAGAGTTATGTATTTGTATATAATTTTTTGTTTAATGACACATTTTATTTTCAATGGACCAGAGTCCATTTTACATTTTCTATGGGACAGTTTTACTGGTGATTTAGTTTTTCTGCATTTGGCTATCTTGGAAAGTCTTCATCTTCTCTTAATTGTGAAGGACAGTTTTACTGTTAATAGTATTCTCGCTTGAAAGTTTTTGTTTTTTCTTTCAACACCCTGACTATATCACTTAACTCCCTTTTTCCCTGCAAAGTTTCTGTTGATAAATTCACAGGTAATCCCATAGGAGAATGCTTATAAATGACACATCACTTTTCTCTTGCTGCTTTCAACATCTTATTCCTCTCTGTGATTTCAAAATCTTGCTTATAATGTGTCTTCTTATGGGTCTTTTTGTGTTTATTATTGATTTTTTTACATCTTTTGTGTAAACATTTCTGTTATTTTCTTGTATTCTTTAGTCCCACACTGTGTTTCTTGTTATACATTTTATTATTTTGTTGATACTCCCATTTCCTGATTTTATTTAGTTGTCTTTGTTCCCATTTCACTTACTGAGTCATCTGAATTATTTAGATAATTTATACATATTTATTTTCTTAGAATTAATTTTTTATTTAGTTTGTTTCCTTGATTGGACCATGTTACCCTGATAATTTTGCATATGTTGTAATCTTTGGTTCATATTTGGGCATTAATAAAATGCCACCTGTCACACTCTTTATAAGTGGCTTTGTCCTGGAGAAGGCTACTAGCTATTTGCCAGGCTGGAGATCCTTGTAGCCTCTCAAACCTCTTCTTATGATTTGTCTTCTCTGGAATCGTGTGTTTACTGTTCAGCTAAAGAGATTTGTTCATGTTTCTTTGTAAAAACCTGTAATCATGTGCTACACCTGGTGTCTGTCTGTGGCACTATGATCTCTCTGCTGCAGTAACAATTATTTACCTTTTTCTTAGCAGACCAAAGCTGTCATTCAAAGCATACCACCATTTCTTTCAACAGTCTTTGTTATGGGAGACAGAAACCAGTCTTTGGAAAGCCCCTAAAAGCCAGGAGTATGGGCACATGTGCAATGTTTTGTTTTTCTGTTTTTTTGCTTTGAGGGAGAAGCCAGGAGTTTGAAGTTTACTCTTAAAGACACCATGCTATATTGGGGTGGAGGAAAGGTTTTATGTATAAATGTAACAAACTTTACTTTCTATTCTATGTGGATTTTGCAATTGTGCTCACCTAGGGTGTTGCAAACTCAACTAGATTTTATAGTTTTCAGAAAGGCATTTTGGTCAGTATATTTTTGTTAAGTTTATATGTTCAAAAAGGAAACAGGGCCTGTGGTATTTTATTATGCCATCTTGTTAATGTCTTTGATATAATATTTATTAGATTTGTAAAGTGTATTTACTGGAGATTAGTAAGTGGAATAACTTTTTATTTTTATTTCTTTCAGCTATTTTATCTTATTCCATTCAAGACCTTTTGCCAGAGCAGGAAATGAAAGATTTATGCCAAAAAGTGACACTGACGAGACATAGAAGCTGGGGCCTTGACAATTTGCACTTAGTGAAAGACTGGAGAACTGTGAATGAGGGTAAGGGGCAGAAAGAATGTTATAATAGACTTACTCAATGTTCATCAACTGAAAGCAAAATCTTTCAATGTATTGAATGTGGCAAAAATTTTAGCCGGAGGTCAATCCTTACTGAACATAAGAGAATTCATACTGGAGAGAAACCATACAAATGTGAAGAATGTGGCAAAGTTTTCAATCGATGTTCAAACCTAACCAAACATAAAAGAATTCATACTGGAGGAAAACCCTACAAATGTGATGAATGTGGCAAAGTTTTTAATTGGTGGTCACAACTAACTAACCATAAGAAAATTCATAGTGGAGAGAAACCCTACAAATGTGATGAATGTGGCAAAGTTTTTAATTGGTGGTCACAGCTAACTAGCCATAAGAAAATTCATAGTGGAGAGAAACCATACACATGTGAAGAATGTGGCAAAGCCTTTACCCAGTTCTCAAACCTTATGCAACATAAGAGAATTCATACTGGAGAGAAACCCTACAAATGCCAAGAATGTTGCAAAGCCTTTAACAAGTTCTCAAACCTTACTCAACATAAGAAAATTCATACTGGAGAGAAACCCTACAAGTGTGAAGAATGTGGCAACCTTTTCAATGAGTGCTCACACCTAACTAGACATAGGAGAATTCATACTGGAGAGAAACCCTACAAATGTGAAGAATGTGGCAAAACCTTTACACAGTTTGCAAGCCTTACTCGTCATAAAAGAATTCATACTGGAGAAAAACCCTACCAATGCGAAGAATGTGGCAAAACTTTTAATCGGTGTTCACATCTAAGTAGCCATAAGAGAATTCATACTGGAGAGAAACCCTACAAATGTGAAGAGTGTGGCAGAACCTTTACTCAATTCTCAAACCTCACTCAGCATAAAAGAATTCATACTGGAGAGAAACCCTACAAATGCAAAGAATGTGGCAAAGCATTTAACAAGTTCTCAAGCCTTACTCAACATAAGAGAATTCATACTGGAATGAAACCCTACAAATGTGAAGAATGTGGCAAAGTTTTTAAACAGTGCTCACACCTAACTAGCCATAAGAGAATTCATACTGGAGAGAAACCCTACAAATGTAAAGAATGTGGCAAAGCTTTTTACCAGTCCTCAATCCTTAGTAAGCATAAGAGGATTCATACTGAAGAGAAACCCTACAAATGTGAAGAATGTGGCAAAGCCTTTAACCAGTTCTCAAGCCTTACTCGTCATAAAAGAATTCATACTGGAGAGAAACCCTACACATGTAAAGAATGTGGAAGAGGGTTTTACCAATCCTCAATCCATAGTAAGTATAAGAGAACTTATACTGGAGAGGAACCTGACAAATGTGAAAAATGTGGCAGTCTTTAAAAACTGCTTACATTATACATGGCTTCAGTAATTTCATACTGAATAAAAGTGGTATGAGCATCATGACTGTTTAAGGATGTTTCACAAAATGTAAGCTTCATGGTGCACAACACTATACTGAATGAAATGTATAAATATAGAATATTACAATACCTTTGTTTATTTCAAAGATCATCCTGTAAATAGAATCTGTACCAGAGGAAAACCCTTAAACAATTATTCAGACTTTATTCAACTTTAGAGGATTTTATGGGGGAAAAAACCTCCTACAAATGTGGAAAAACATTTTTTCAAGATATATATCTTAGAAAACACCAGAGTTTATAGTATAGTAGAATATATTTTACAGATACAGTGAATACAAATAAATGTCCAAAATTAAGTCTAAATAAAACATTACATAATTTACTATAGAAAGTACTAAGGCACTAACAGTTTCAGATGTTACTTTAAAGCAGTGTTGATTGTCAAGAATAATTCAAAGTTTAAATAGATAATTTAGTTGTATGTAAATTTAAATGAATCGGGGGGAGGGGGGAGGGATT